TAATGAATAAGTACAGGTTGTGCACATATCTCTTATCATGGGTCAAACATTGCATATTTCTGTCACTGGGCCGAGTCAGACTGGGAAGGATTAACAATTTCCTTTGATGGACAAAGTGTGAACAATAGAAAATAAAGTGAAATTCATCTTCAATTTCATGAGAGTTACACCTCTCACATAAGGGCGAATTAGTTAATTTCCACCAATAGAGATTGTTATTTAATGGAAGGCTATGGGATTTAACAAAGCTATGACTCTTCTGCTCCAATACCGTGGGAGGTTGGTGGTATATTCAGCTGTTTCTTGAAACGGAATTGTAAGAGAGAAAACATTATACTAGCAACAGACTTCTTCCTCTACGTTCTGCACAGAATGATCAAAAAGTCTACTTTTTACTTTACTGAGAAAGAGCCTAGTACTTCCAACATTTTGAGAAAACCAGGCATATCCAAAACCCAGGGAAAATAATAGGTTTTTAACTTCCGTAGCCCAGTTGACTCTGCCCAGTTCACAGGAACGATATAATTGCATGTAGCATTTCTTTGGATATCTGTCATTTTCTAAGTGCATGTAATCAGAACATAAGCTGGTTCTTCCCACTTCTCTTAGAACTAAACGTACATAGTGAAACCTCTGGCCACCATCTCCGACTCCTGGATGATGCGCAGACATTTTTTCTCCACGTGAACCAACTCCAGCGCTGAGCTCTCAAACTCCACCAGGTGACCCTCTCTAGTCGAGAACTCCCCACAAATCTACAGGGGGAAAAAAAGGAAGATTTTAATTTGTCATTAGACCATTCATGACAGTTACTTTACTTACTTCCCGTTATGCCATCTGGCGTTTAGGGCAGCAACAAAGGATCTCCAGCTCTGTCGGTTTTGGGCCATCTTGGTCATCGGTGGCCTAGTGGTTAGGCTCTCGGACTCGCAACCGTAAGGTCGTGGGTTCGAATCCCGTCAGGGGCCCGACGTTGTGTCCATAGGAAAGGCACTTTGCACAAATTTTCCTCACTTCACCCAGGTGGAAATGGGTACCCGGCTATAGACAGTGAACGATCTTGTCAGTTTGATAGTGTTTGAGCGTGTGAAATCCGCAGCTCGCACTGTATGCTTCTGCAGAAGCCGAGAATGTTTCTGAGTGTTCTCAGAGGGTCTGCTGGGGTAATAATAGTTGTAAAGCGCATAGAGCATGCTCTTGAGCATGGATATACGCTATATAAATGCAATTATTATTAATATCTTGGTCAATGTTCCCCATGACATGACAGACAAATGCAAAAATACAAGTCTTTGACTCAAATCAGATAGGTTTCAAACTCCTTAGTTTTTTAAAGTTTTAGTAAGAGTTTTACAGCACTTGCAACACAATAAGGTCATATAAGTGCCGAAGAACAGAGGTATTACAAGAGAGTAACAAACACAAAAAAAGAAGGAGAGATCAGGACGACAGATGTTTGATAGAAAAGAAGGAGCAAACCACACCAGAGCATCCCACGAAAAAAAAAAGGAAGATTTAATTCGTCATTAGACCATTCATGGCAGACAAATACAAAAATACAAGTCTTTGACTCAAATAAGACAGGTTTCAAACTCTGCAAAAATCTGAAACCAAGGCAGAATTCTTAACTCTATCAATATTTACGGCGCTCGCAACTGTATAAGGTCATATAAGTGCCAAAGATTAGAGTAACAAACATAAAAAAGAAGGAGCGGAGATAGAGACGATAGATTTTTTATAGAAAAGAAGGAGCAAACCACACCAGAGAACCCACCAACCACCCACCTTCCTGATCATCCACGCGTACACCACCATCAGCGAGACAGCCAGCACCACGGCCAACACCACAGCACCAACAACAACAATAACAACAACAACAACAACCACAACAACATCAGCAACAACAACAACACCACAACACAACAACAACAAGTTACCTTCCTGATCATCCACGCGTGCACCACCATCAGGGAGACAGCCAGCACCACGGCCAGCACCACGGCCCACATGACCAGCACGCCCGTCACACTGCCGCCCACCAGCGGGACGTCCAGACACGCCGTCAGCAGCACCAGACCCCAGGGCAGATACACGCTGGACATCACAGCCACGTTCGCTACGATCAGGACAAAGGGCATGATCCTGGGTCAAAGAAGGAACAAGAAAAAAAAAACTTGGTTAGTTTCCGTACGAGTTTTGCGGCACTTGCAACACATATAAATGTCCAAGAATAGATGTGTTACAGGAGAGTAATATACACAAAAAAGAAGGAGGAGACATAAAAGGACGATAGATGTTTGATAGGAAAGAAGGAGCAAAATACATCATAGCACCTGCCAACCACCCACTATGCTGTCAATGACAGTTGAGGAGAAAAGTAGTTATTTAGTTTAATTTTAGTAAGAGGTTTACGGCACTTGCAACACGATAAGGTCATATAATTGCCCAATATTAAAGGTGTTACAAGAGCGTAACAAACACCGAAAAGAAGGAGGGGATATAAAGATGATAGATGTTTGATAGACAAAGCACCCACCAACCACGTGTAATCTCTCTCTCTCTCTCTCTCTCTCTCTCTCTCTCT